TTTTTAAAAGCATAACTAAATCCATGTTTTATTCTTTTTGTGGAATAGAGGTTTATAGAATGAGGGGAGAAAATCCCCATTAATTTCTAGAAAAACAACTCAAAGTATATGGCATCCTTACAGAAGGTAAGGAATGGCATATTCGTATATGGAAGTAAACATTTTCTTGTAGGTATTTTTCTGCAACAAAGCTTTTAAAAATCATGGAAGATATTGAAATACTTAATACTGTAAAAAGCAATGAGACTTAAGACTATGGTAGAAACTTCCAGTTGTACCTCCCCAATATCCAGTATAGAAACCACATCTTCTATCCTTCTTAGCAGTGTGGTTAGTTAAGTGACTAATTTTTTAAAATATTTATTTTTTTAGATGTAGTTGGATACACTATCTTTATTTTATCTATTTTTATGTGGTGCTGAGAATGGAACCTAGGGCCTCACACATATTAGGTGAGTGTGCTACCGCTGAGCCACAATCCCAGGCCTTAAGTGACTAATTTTGACCAGCAGAATGAAAGCAGAAATGTCACATGCAGCATTTGGAACAGAATTTTAAAGAGTGGGGGTCATCGTTTTATATTCTCTCTTCTGATCTCGAAGGAATAATGGCATATTTCAAAAGGAAGTTATTCAATAAATATTTATTGAGCACCCAGATTCCAGCACATATGTAAGATCTTAGTAGTTATAGATGAGTTAAACCAGGATATTTTGTGATAATCATATGATAAGTAAAAAAAAATATTTTACTTCACTCTGCCTAAGCAAAATTCCCATCTAAATTTTAATTCCCAACGGTAAAACCTGGATAATGTCTTGTCCCAAAACAAGTTGATCACATTTTATATTCTGCAGAAAATTTAGACATGGCTTCCAAAGGTTATGCAAGTCATGTTGAATATTCAAGAGGTAGTGACTATAGAGAAGACAAATAGAAAGAGATTTGACTTATAAGAAAGCTAAAAGGGCTGGGGATGTGGCTCAAGCTGTAGCATGCTCGCCTGGCATGCGTGCGGCCCAGGTTCCATCCTCAGCACCACATACAAA